TGAGATCAGTTGCACCTGACGGAGGGTTAAGGCTGCAATCAGTAAAATCCAGCACGTGGGGGACTACAGGACCAAAAAAAAAAAAAAAAGGAAAATAAAGGGGATAGAAAGCTCTGGACAAAAACTTATTAATGAGCTTATGTGTGTAACGAGTGGACCTCCTCTAGGCCCTTATTTGAACCAATTAATAAAAAAAGGTTTATGAGACAATAGGGAAAAGGAGAACATTGCCTAGAAACCTAACACTGAGGAATTATTAAGTAATTTGTTTTTTAAAGAGTCCTTATCTTTTCAAGTTACAAATTGCAGTGAATTGATAAATGCTGAAGCTGGGAGTTAGGAGCCTGAGAGTTCATGATTATTATCCTGTTTTGTATATGTTTACGAACTCCCACAATAAAAAGCTTAAAACAAGTCTGTGGGCTTGTTGCCCCATCCCTCAAGTCCCCACACACTGTCCACTGAGCTGGGAAGGATCTTACAGGCGCATAAAGCATCTTAGATGACTGCTTACCTGTCGATGAACTGATCAATAATGACGATATCACCGGGCTGAATCTCTTCCCTCAAGGAACCACAAGCCGTGGTCACTATGACGTGTGTGCAACCCTCCTCCTTCAGAGCCCAGATGTTGGCCTGATAATTGACTTTTGAAGGCATGATGGTATGCTGCCTCCCATGCCTATGGAAGAAGAGTAAATATGGTAGATGAGTGAGCAGCACATTTTAATACTGTTAGAAAAGAAAACTTAATTTATAGCAGTGACTTCCAGCCCTTTCCAACACGTTTTCATTGGCAGAGGAAGAATGAGAGAACGCGGGGCAATAACCAGCCAACTCTAAGTATCAACTATTTGATTTTAAAGTACAGGCCAGCTTTAAATCCGGTATATTTATTTTCCTATCAAGAGCAAGTAATAATAACTACCTTAGAATTCCCTCTCGAGAAAGATGTACTGTGTCTATTCTGTGGGGCACCAACACCTCAGAATCTGAGGCATCTGGTTTTACATGAGGGATGACAAGGAAAACAAGAGGTGCCAAAGGAACAAAGACACAAAATATTTAGAAATAAATATTCAAGTTGCATTTCTCCATTCCTTTCTTCTTGGTCACTCAAGTAAGTTAACGAAACATTTAAAATATTAGAGCTCCCAGTTCTTTATGATGACATTTGCAAGTTTCATCTGAAAACTGATCACCTCATGCATGACGACTGTTATGGGCTGAACTGTGTTGTACAACGCCCGCCCCCCCTCAAGTCGTATGTTGAATTCTTAACCCCTAGTACATCAGAATATGGCCATATTTGGAGACATGGTCTTTAATGAGGTGATTAAGTTAAAATGAGGTCAAGGGCCCTAATCCAACATGAATGCTACCCTTGTAAGAGAAAATCTGGATACAGAGACGCGGAGAGGGCAGAACACGTGAGGATACAGGGGGAAGACGGCCATTGATAAGCCAAAGAGAGAGGCCTGGAACAGAAGAAACCAATCCTGTTGACACCTTGCAGGTAGGTGGATCTGAGAATTGCTTCCAACCAATAGCAAAGGTGGCGGGGTCACTCCCATGGTTAGGCTCCACCTGACTCCATGCACTATAGAGACCCTCCTGCTGCCCTTAATGGAATTAGCTGCTACCATGGGAATTGCCCATGGCATTGGCCACATGGCAGGGAATGTGGACAGCTTCTGGAAGGTGAAAGTCTCAGTTCTATAACCGCGAGGAACTGAATTCTGCCAGAGGAACTGAATTTTGTCAACAACATGAGCTTGAATCAGGGCCTGGAGCTCCAGATGAGAACAAGCCCTGAACACAAGACCCAGCTAAGCTGTGCCCACACTGTTGACACCTAGAAACTGTGAGATCATGTGTGCTCTTCTAAGCTGCTAAATTTGTGACCAATTGTTAGGCAGCAACAGAAAACTAACATATGTAGTTTGACTAATTTCTAGCTGTGTGATACAAATGATTTGACCTCTTTGTAATACGGAACTGCACTAGCCCTGTCAAGGAGATAATGGTGTGGAAACCACAGGGAACCCACTTCAGGGACTTGTTCTCATCTGGAGCTCCAGGCCCTGATTCAAGCTCATGTTGTTGACAAACCTAGAACTACAGTAATATTTCACAAGGGATCATGAATGAAGAATTTTTCTTTATTTTGTTACAGAAAAAAAAAAAAACACAGAAGAAAACATTTTGCAACTGGACTGAAGGAAACCAGAACTTCAAACTCATCTTATCACTCATTGGCTTGTCCTAACCACTTTCCCAACCTATGAAAGGGTGTGTGTGTGTGTGTGTGTGTGTGTGTGTGTGTGTGTGTGTGAGATCTAAGTCAGTATAACTTACCCCAAAACCCTAAGTGGGAAATTATGATGACTAAGATGCTTTGGCTCCACCAACACATAAAACTCATACCTGCATCACTACTCTTTCCAGATTTTAGGTTAAATTTAAACTCTCCTTTAGCAGTGACATTCAAAAGACTTAAAATACCTTACCTTGCAAGGAGGACGCAATCAACATTCTTTATCTTCCCCAAGATTAAGGCATCAGAAGGCTGCACATAATGAATAATGGTTATAACTCAGTGATTTGAAAACACAGATAAACAATTAAAAAGCTGCCATTTCAATTGTTCAACCACAATAGGATTCATGGAAACTTGGAGTTTGAAGATACACTTTGAAGAACTAAAACAGTCTAGGTTTGATTGATAATCAACAAATATTTACTGAGCCCTTTACAAGCACAGAGATTCACAGGACTCAAAAGGCTGCCTCAGGTGTGTGGGTAGGCACCATTTAGTGACATCTACTTATAGCAAGCATACGAGAGGACTCTGATGGTAGACTGATCAGATACAGCTGTGTTGAGGTATTGCTGAGGTTCAAGAGAAGGTGTGAAAATGAAACACAGAAAGGAAAGGAGGTGACTGTCGAGGATTTAAGAACTCAGCACTGGAACTGTTTGTTGTGTTAACTAACTCTAAGATGGTCATGGATGACCTGAGGTCATGGAGGGAAAGGTTCTCAGAACCTCAGGGATTGAGAAAACATGAGGCTAAGTACCAAGTTTATAGCAGGATTTGGAGAACATGAGGTCAATCTAAGGACTTGGCTGAAAAAGAGGTTTGTTTGGGATTGCTAGATGCAGGGGTCTTTACAGGAGAACCAAAGGAACTGCAACATTTGGAAGTACAATAGCACAATGAAATTAGAAGGTAGACACCCTCACCCCAACTGGGTGACACACTGGCTGGGAGACCAAACAGCCGCTTTTCAATAGAAAAAGAGGAGTATCTTATTTCCAGTTCAGTTATGCAACCGTGTTAGGGATCTCCAAGAAATCCCCCTTTTGGGACAGGGTTTACTTTGTATGACGTTTCCTCCCAGTCTATCTACTAAATTAGTATGGTATGACCTAAATGCCCCAAATTAGAAGCTGATTTAAATGCAGAGACCTGAAGAGTACAGTTGCTATGTCTGAAAAGAGTATCTGGCTTCTAAAAATATAAATTGAGAAAACTAATCCATGTAATTGGACTAATTTCTAATTATGTGATACAAATGATTTGTTCCCTCTATAATATGGACTATACATTGAGAAAACCAATTTGCACATAATTGAAAGCCATATTTTCAATACAGGGAAATCCAAGGCATCCTTAGGGACACTGTCTCAACTGGTGAAACTGAACGACAGGACTCCTGGCCCCTACCAGCCCTGGGCTGTCAAGACAAAAGCAATTAAAAAAAAATGTTTTTTTAACTTAAAAATCAAGCCAGCAAAAAGAAAGGAAAAGGCTAGTATGTCTTCATTAACTGAGTACTAACCTTGCCAAATGGAGTATCCACATATTTTTCGGTTCTTCCTTCCAAGATTTCTGGATCATCAAGGCCTGTTCCACCAATTATTCCAATCTAAGAGAAACAATCAAAAGATAACATATTTGATCAGTTTTCATTGGAAATGATTTATTTTAAGCAAATTTGCTTACTCATATGATCGTCTCCATTTCTACAAAGCTCTAGTTATTTTTAAAATCTGAAATGACTGAGAAACAGTCATTCAACAAACCTTTGAAAGCCTTCTATATTATAGGAACAACCAAAGCGTGGGTAGCCTTTTTTGAACCGTATCGCATTTATTGCTTGACAATTTTTGAATAACAAATTAGCACGCAAAGGTACTTCAATTAGCTTAAGCAGAAAATGAAACCTAAAAATAAGCAAATGTGGTTGTAGGAAGTACTTTCTAACCAATTGTATATTCTCTACTAAATGGGCTATGAAATACAGAATGTTCAAAAGACTGCTGAGATAGAAAATATTCTGCATAGGCACTCTGTAACGATTTCTCCTCATTACCCTGTTTGATGAAGAAATGAGAGGTTTTTTCTTTCCTATGCCACTAAAATCACAGAGCTCTAAGGGATCATTGATAGAGGAGTCTTGAATAGCATGAAAAGTTAGCCTCGTCTATTTATGAAATCCAAATGTCATTCACGTATGCACGCATAAATATAAATAAGTAATTCAAAGGTAGTTCTAACTTATTTTAAGTTCCAGTGTTGTATTGCATTTTCCAGAAAATAACAGTCCTTGTCTTCAGGGACTAATCGGAGTTAAAGAAACCTCGTACTATCATCTAGACTTAATCTAATTTGATGACTAAGCAACACAAACAAGAAAAATGACAAAGACAACGAAAATATTAACTAACCTGTTAACTAAAAATTAAATAACTGAAATTGTTAAGAGGCTTCCATGGGCTGACACGTCCTAAGGGAGAAACAGTATTTAAATGATCAGGGACAGGCATCAGAGATGATACTTTACCAAGAAACCTAGTGGAAAGTGACCTGAGCATTTTTTTTTCAATGAAAAGCTTTGAATCTATCGTCACTTGAGTAAAATTTCCACTAAATGAAAGAAAGTAGCTCCTTGAGAAAAAAATTCCAGAGTTAGGAATTAGATGAACATCTGAATAAAATAATTTTCAGATCAGTTTAACAAAGTTGATTTATATTAATATGTGGGAAAATGGTTACCTCTCTGGCTCTGTTTCCTGGGGGAAAAAGTCAGCAAAAACAGAAAATAAGGGCAATTTAGTGAGCTTTAACAGAAGAACAACATGATTGAGAACTTGAAAGCGTCCCCACAACTTCCTCAAGTGGCTAAACCAGTTTTTGACGTTGGTGCCACCTTGTGGTACATTCTTGAAACCACAGCAGGTTATATATTCTACTGCAACCCATCTCTCCTACCTTATTATTATACAACTTAACATCATAGGTAAAGATTAATCAATATTAGTTTTCAAATCAACAGAAATGTTGTTAGAACATTTAAATTATGCCAGTTCAATAGAAATTGTTAAAAATCATACTGTTCTATGCGATCCTAACCCAGCCTCTGCCTGATTTCTCCATTTTATCTTTCATTTCACATACTCTGAAGCACCACAGACCATATGGGGCTAATAAACTGTGTGGCCCATGTCATCACCCCAGACCACAGAACTGAAATGTTGATTCTGAAATTATTCTCAGCCTGCTCTTTAGAAATTCTGCCATTGACGAACATTTATCCCCCCCCCCTCACCGTTACCACTTAGACTTGGCTGTTTCTGGATGTTTCCTGCGCCGTCGCATCTCACATGCTGGATTCAACACTGGAATCTCAAACTCGTATACAAAACAAACCTGACTTCATGTTGGAGCCACGCTCTCAGGTTAGCCCAGCACCGCAGCAGTGGATAAGAAATTCCAACCAGGGATCCTGCTGAAGTTCAGTGCCGTTGAGCCCACCCTCAGCAGCCCCAAGCTTCAGTCACACCACCTTGGCTACATGATGACCCAGCATTAGGTAGCTGGTAAATCAGCCCTCTGCGAGGAACATGTAGGTGCAGGGCACGAAAGCCAAGAGCTGCTACTGCTAGCCAGAAAAGCCAGGATGGGGTCTCTGGCACTGGAATTATCTGCAGTAGAGCCCATCCAGTCACCCAACTTGCAAGGGATACAAGACAAGTGCAGCAACTGAGGACTGCACCTCAGCAACACCAGGAAACTGAATTTTTAACCATTTTCCTGTGGCTGCAGATGGAGGCCAGGAGTGCCAAGATGTGGCAATGTCGCCACCTGCTGGCCCCACGGCAAAGTACCACTAGGATGAAACTCGCAAGCATGTAGATGGCCTAATTATTCTGCAGTTCTAGAGCCTTTAAATTCAACAGTCAACTAAGTACCTGCCCTGGTAATGCTCTGGTAACAAAGTAACTGTGTCTGAGCACTTCATGTCACAGGCACTATGCTAGCTGCTTCCACAGCCTTGCTTCATTTGATCTTCACAACTATCCTATAAGATATCCCCTATATAGTATTACACCCATTTTACGAAAGAGAAAAGAGAAAACATAAAAAATTAAGAAATTTGTCCAAGAGCAAATTATAAGGAGGAAAGCTGGAATAGGAACCCAGGTCTTTCACACTCAACAACTGTATTACTGACCAATATCCCCTGGAATTCTTTATAACATCATATTAGAAAAGTTGTATTTTCTCCATGTTAAGAGAAAATTGATGCACAGAAAGGTCAAGTTCTGGACCAAGCATATAAAGTGACTCTTGGAATCTAAGTGAACCATATTGGGAGGAGCAGGGGGGCTCTCCATCAGTTGACCTCATCTACACTCAGGAAGCAATGACAAAACCTTACCAGGTCTCCTGGGCCAGAAGCATCAGCCTTCAGTCCAGGCAATCCTATGCTGCCTAGAAAACACGTTCGAACACTGAGATAAACTGCCTGAGTCAATGCTGCCCAGCCAGGACTTCTTTATTATACAAGATAAAGTTCTGACTAGGGACCCCTGGTCAGTCAAGGTCATTACCAGATTTTAACAACTAGTGGTCTATTCCACACTTTCCCACTGACAGACCACAGAGTCCATCTCCTTAAAAAGAGGAGAGGGTTTGAGCAGAAGGTCCAAGATGGTGGATTAGGTAAACACTATACCTACTGCATCCCAGAATCAAA